CCCCCCCCCCCCCCCCATCACATGCCGTTTTTATACACGCTTCATCTCTGCATGCACTGGACACCATGCCTCCTCACTCGCCTAATCATCCTATTCGTGACCTTTTCCCCTTTAGTCCATCGACTCCCACTCCCACCTCTGGCAAAACCAGCAACAGCAACAACCCCCGCCAGGACGAGGACCGGCCCGTGCCACCGGGGGCCATGGTCCAGTATCTCTGGACCTGCCACGCCTGCGGCTGCGGCACCTTTCGCTGCAACGAGGCTTCCGTAGCTCTGTGCATCCAGTGCGGGCATCAAGTCTGCGACGGGTGCACCACCTTTTTCGGTGCCCGCCTCCTCCGCTGCGTCGAGGTGGAAGATCTTCTCCCCCACCACGCCGCCAACCCCGGTGTAAGTCCCCCCTTGTTCCCCTCGGTCCATGTCTAGGGCGTAACTCTGTCTATCTAAACCCCGAAATAACGAAAACAAAAAAACAGTGCACCTGCGAGCAGTATTCCAAAAAGAGCCGTTGTCGCACTGGCCATCCCATCCGTCGGTGTCCTGCTAAATCGGGTCTACGTCGTCTGCGGTACACGCCGTACGCCCACCCGACGCTCGTGCAGCACTGCATCGTGACCTTTCGTCCCGGCCGCGACGGCAGTCCCGCACTCGGCACTTTTTTTGCGTTACGGACACGTTTCGACCGGCCGCGGACAACCACCACCACCACCCGAGCAGGCAACGAAACCAGTACGCCCACGACGACGACGACACTCGACTGCATCGCCCGCTCCGTCGCCGCGGCTCGCCCCACGGCCACCATCCCGCCCATCTACGACATGCTGCGCCAGCCACGGTCCGGTGACGCCGCGCTGGCGCCGCGGCCCGGCATCTCGGTAAGCACCGTCGCCTTGGCGCGCTTCTTTGCGACGGGCGCCGCGAGCGTCGCGCGCACGCTGGGCCTGTCCGGCCGCCCCATCGTCTGCGTCCGTGTCGATCCCATGCTGGCCTTTGTGGCGTACTACCTCTGCGCGAGCTTCTACGTCGTCTTTGCGGAGTGGAGGAACAAGAAGAAGAAGATGGTAAGCGTGCGTCAGCCGCCTCGGGCGGCGGCGCCGGAGTGAAAGCGGGGTAATCAAGTTTCTCTGCGCCTTGTCCATACTGCTTGATGATGATGCTCCCTTGATCAGAGGAGCGGATTAGCATGTAGTTGTACCCAGTTGTCAGGATACAGCACATGATTTGAGTCTGTACAATCCAAGATGCTTGGAGCGTTTCTTGCTTGTTGATTTACATGATTGTGTGCTTTTGCAGATTTATGCAATGGCTTTATGAGATTCTTGAAATTACGACACAAATTTGGCTTTTGTTTTACGCTGGTCAACATGTTTGGAGCATTTTGCTTGTTGATTTTCTATGCTTTTTGTGCTTTTTATCCAAGTTCATGAAACGAATGAGTCGGAGCTTGAGTGTGTGACTTGACTTGCAGAGATTTGGCCGGTACGGATTTTTCATATTGCTCAATAGACATTCGACACACAGTCCTTCCATCTCGTAAACCCTTGCTGTCATGTGCAGTGCATCGTGCCAGCGTGGACTGGACGATGCAGCCACTCCTTAGCCTCTCGTCCCATGTGCTACTTTATCCCATGCAGAGAGGGTGGTACCCCAGTTTTATGTCTACTGAACCTGTGCAACTCTTCCTTTATCACGTCTCCCTCGTTGGGGGGGTCTTGGTGTAACTAGCTAGCCTCTCTCTTGTAGAACTCGACCGGACTCTTAGGCAAGCCCCGGACGACGCCAACTCCACAACCAAGTCGGTGTAAATAAGAAAAGTCATGTACATAAATGTTGGCAGGCATGTCTTGCAAGAATCCAGTTGAAAGAAGAAAAGATTGGCAACGAACGGTCATTTGCCAACCCACGCCCAAAGAGGAAATGCCGTACGACAGACATCCTGACCCGGCAACACGGGCGAGCCGTTACAAGACATGGGCATGGCTATAGCCATGCATATATCCTTCTTCACAATAAAGATCTGCATAAAGGTGTCCCAGCAGCTTTGCCCATTCAAGACATTTTAATCGAAAGTAAACGAGACGCGGTAGTCCAACGTATCTTTGTTCTGTAGTTGGCATGTACATAGTTCCGCGCGCTCTTTCCGAAACCATGCATCGCAAGGCCCAGAATTCCGCACCTCTTCCGCAGCTGCATAGCAACCGATGCTCTGCTGCTGCCCGGCCCCCCAAAACTGCTTATGGCTTTCCCCCCCGCGCCTATCCCTCAAGATCCCCTCGATGGCTCGTCAAATGTGCTTGTGTGTGTATCGGTTCTATGTGCGTATTATGCATGCGCGTATATGCGTGCACATTGTCCTCTTGGTCTTGTTGAACTTTGCCCGTAATGAAGCCTTCATCATTCCCCTCTCACTCCCAACTCCTGCTCTGCATACGTACATTGACGAGTTGTGCAACCTCTGCATTGTCTCGCATCTTCGTGTCGCACCAACCAAAAGAATGGATAAATAAACAAGACCAAACTGATGACAAAAAGGCAAGTCATCGGCCGTAGCGCTATCCGCTAGCCATCCCAATCACATCAAGATCGCGACCCCGCGTATCCGGCTTCTACATTCCGGCCAGCCATGCAAAGAAACAAATAAAGACGCGACTACCGTTTTTTTTCTCCATTGTCATACACGAGGTGGCCATGGCCTGCATATTGGTCTTGCCCACCATCCTGCAACGCCTTTTCTGCATGATGCAGTAGCCTCTTCCTCCCTCTCGCCGCCACATGCACCAAGTTCCTCGACCATTTGCGACAAAGGCACACATCCGGCCGGACAAGCCTGCACACACACACACACACACACACACAGAATACACACGTATCAAAGAATATAGCAAGAAGCAACGTGTTTGAGTTGTAGGCATGAAAATAAGAAAAGACATACCCCTTTGAAACGAACCAGAAATAGAGAATGAAGACAAAAAGTTGGCTGGAGGGAGCAATGTCTCCCAAGCCCACTCACCCCTCAAATAGTTATGCATGTTGTAAAGTATCGCAAATGATAATTCTCCAAAACTCCCCAATTTCCCCTCGCCCAGATAGCAAGAAAGTGACACGAAAAATCAAGCAGCACAAGAAAAAAAAAATCGATCCCGAACTTCAGATAAAAAAAAAAAAGAGAGGTCAACATGTGGCTCAAAATACCATCGCATCCGGGTGCCCTACTTGGCTCTTCCCTCTTCCCTCTGCTCCCTTCTCTCTTGCTCTGAATTTCTTGTACATGTTGAAAATTACCTTACATAATGGTCTGGACTGCAGACTTACTCTCCTGGTCCTGTGCGACACTGGCCGAGCTGCCCGTCGCTCTACTTGTCTCGGTCCGGACATCTGCATCAGTCGTCCACCAATTTTATTGTGGGCTTGGCGACCTGCTTGGGCTTGCCGCTGAGGCGACGATGCGCCGTCTTTGGCGTCACTTTCCCCTTTGGCGTCGTTTTGCTTACAGGAGTGCCACCGAGACTCGATGCTCGGCTCTTGGGCGTGCCGCTGGGAGTGCCCTTGGTCGACGTCTTGCTAGGACTCGTCTTCTTGGGCGTCGTCTTCTTTCCGGCCCGCACATTCTCCTCGCTGGTGCCGACCATGGTCAGACTAGACGAGCGCGAAGAAACCTGCTTCGTGCCAGGCTTGTGCGCGGCAGGTCGGCGCTTGACCAGCTTGTTCGACGTCGCCTTCTTCAGCAGGTTGCCCACGCTGGCGCGTCGCTTCACCGGCGTCGATTTGGCCGAGTTCTTCTTGGTCAACGTCATGCTAGAAACGCTCTTCTTGATGGCCGTCGCAGCTCCCTTGGCTGCCTTGATGCTCGCAGACGACAAGGAGCGCTTAACGCCGCTGGCAGGCTGGATTTTGCGCTTTTTTGCCTTGTCGTTGCCCGAGACCTCATCACCGAGCATTTCCTTAAGCTTGCGCTTGCCAGCCTTGATCGTGCCCTTGACTGCCTTTTTCAGGTCAGTCTTTGGTGGCTTGACCTCGCGCGGGCGAGGACCGAGAACACCACGGCAGTTGTGCGCGCCGCAGAGACACTTTTGAACATTCTTGGCGGAAAATGGATCAAAGTTGTAGTCGTACGTAAGCTCGTCCCCGGTCATGATGGGGTTGTCGCCCGCAAAGAGAGCCATTCGCGGCTGTCCCGAGACAATCCATTTAATCATGCGGCAGTTGGGATTGCAGCTGTGGTTGACGAATCTGGCAATGCTGCCAGTGGTGGCGTCGATAATCATGTTTTGGTCAAAACTCATCAAATAGTAGCACTGAATTTCGTGTTAGCACAAATCTAAAACCCGGCTCAAACTCAGTCAAGCCTACCTCGTTGTTCTTGTACTCATTATTCATGCGACGCTCACACTCCTCTTCTGTGATGATCTCACCAGCGTACTCCATGATGATTTGGTGCGGGCGGAAGCAGCGATTGCTTCGCACTCCGTAGCCACGGTCCGATGTCTTGATAACTTCGACGCCAACACGATACTTGCCTCCCTTGGCACGTCGCGCGGTGAGTGTGGCAAACGCTCTGTTGGTACATGTCTCCTTTCCAGCATTACAGTTTATGTCGTTGCATTCATAAAGCATGATTCGGTTCTGGCAGTTGTCACCACAGCCGTCTTCAGGCTTGCAAACACACTTGGAATAGTCTTGGTAGTGTGGCGACTTGCGCCAGTAATCCTTGGAGTCGCCGATGAAGCGATCTGCATGGTGTTAGCAAAAATCATAGCAGCAGAATTGGGTCAGTGAACGTACTCTTGGTCATCTTCTTCCATTCATCGGGCTTGGGCTGTCCGGGAGGTAACGGGTTGCACGTCTGGAATGGCAGCTTAAAGTCGCGACCCTGAAGCAAGAGACGCAGACCGGTGTAAATGGGTGCCGGCATAACCTTGTTGACCGTTCGATTGTAGTCGAGTTCAGGAAGACTTGCGAGCTTCTTCCTTTCAGCGTGCGTCAGACAGCTGGTAGCAACCTCTGGCGCATCTTGACCCGCATACAGGCCCTTGGGCAGGAACTTCTTGGGTCCACGAGGCTTTATTTCGGTAACGGGCTCTTCAGCATTTTCTTTTTCGGCTTGAGCTTCGCTGACCTTGCTCTTCTTTTGAGGCGGTGCAGGCGGCGGCGCATTGGGATCGACGTACTTGCCGTTGGCCCAAACGGTATGAATGACAGGCCTGTCATCAATGTGAGAGAATTCGGCGGTGTCGCGGAGTCGCAGAAGCTCGCGAGAGACTCGGCTCATTGAGCCAGACACAGCCTTACTTCCACGCTTGCCGATCTTGGACAAATGAGAACCAAAGGATGACATGGCCGCGCCCACACTACCACCAGTGCGAGAGTTGAGACGGCGCGAGCGAGGGGACTCTTGAGCAAGATGACGGGTAGTACGCGGCGCGGCGAGGCCGGAGGGTGTCCAGCCAAGATCGAGCGCGTAAATTGCATCCTTGCCGCCGCGAGTCTTGGCGCGGGTTGACATGGAGCTGCGAGTCGACACGCCATCGTTGATGAGTGTGTCACCGGAGATTGTGCGACGCCGACGCTCGGCGACATCATCGCCATTAGCGCGACGCTTGCCATGGCCGTCGGTTCCGCTCAGCTTGGAGAGGTTGTAAACGGGCGCGGCGGCACATGCGCGTCGTGCTCGTCTTGGTGAGGTCTCGACAGGCTCGGCGACTACAAGCTCGGCGGCAGGCTCGGGCTTGGGCGTGGTTTCGGGGATCGGGACAGGCTCAGATGGCAGTTCAGTGTCGAATTGCGAGGTAGCAAGCAGCGGGTCAACGAAGCAGGCAACATCATGCTTGGAGGCGTCGGAATGCAGGCTGTCGCTGTCGGCAATGGTGGTGGGCGGCGTGGAGCTGGACGACGCGACGTGGGACATTGTGTCGGCGACGCTACTCGTGACGCTCGACTGCGGTTCGAGAAGGAGTGGCAACATGTCGAGCGACAATTTATGGAAAGGGTGAGGGTGGTGTCGGGATTATAGGCGTATGTATAATCAGTATGCGCGGGCGCGCGGTGGGCACGAGCGCGACAAGGAGCGTAATGAACGGGAGAGTCACGACAAGGAGCCGCGTCGCATAGAAACACGTCGATTCTCGCTAAAATAAGGGAGAATGGAAATGTAGAATTTGCCGTCTGGCAGAGGCAGGGTAGAATGAAAACGGGACGAAAAAGAGAGACGCAAAGTGTGCTGCCACGACGGTGTGACGGTTGCAGGAAGGGAAGAGGGAGAGTTGGCGTTTGGTGTGAGCGGCCGACGGGGCAGACCGAGGAGCGTGCGGGATGGAATTGCTGATTGGCGTCGCACCACTGTCAACTAAAAAGGCAGCGGCCACAAGCCCAAGACAAGGGCAAATAAAAAAGGCGGCCAAATACGACGGTAGTCGACTTTGGCAAGATGCACTGAAATATAGCTACAGATCTTTGGTTAGCGGACATGAGATCAAGGGTTGGTTGCTGCCACGCGCCAGCTGGTCTCTTGACAACCCCGGATCCTATCTTGAGTGACAATGCAGCACATACCCCGAGAAGCTACGTAAAGTTCGTCATTGATGATGAGAAAACTGACTCGATGGCTTCGGGGAACGCGATTAATGGCTCTTCGTTTTCTGCTGGGGCTCAGTCGTCTCCGCGCGTCGACGCGTGGAGTGGAGATGCTGGGAGATGGCGATACCAGACTCGACGATGAGCAAATCAAATCTCGAGGAAGGGGGAAAAAAAGGAAATCGGACGACGGATGACTGCGTATTTCGCTTCGATACCTTACTTCTTTGATGGCCTCTTTGATGGGGCCAGCTTGTCGCGATGCCACTCTCCTTGCAAACGACACGAGGTTGAGTGGTTCAAGAAAGGCGGCAAGTGTAGGAAGCAGGGAAGCCAGCACACAAGACGCCCAAAAAAAGGGATCGGGCCGGCTATTTACCAACTCGGCCCTTGGGTTATTCTCTTGTGTTCCCTACCCCCATACCTTCTTTTCTCTGGCTATTTTTATTTCTGGTTTTTAGATTCAACACGAAACAGGCCGACATTTGACCTGATCTGGCCTCCCATAGACCATGCCACGGCTCAGGCCGCGCCTCGCAGGGCGTCACGGGCTGCCTTTTCGTCTCATGGTCCTTTTTTCTGCCCGTCTGCCATGTTTGCCTCCAAAACCACATGTCATGACTTTTGACTTGTACCAACTATGCATATACTCCTCGTCACCTTACCTAATTCGGCACATCAACTACAGTCAGATATCAACACTGCCATGCTCGCCGCCATGAGATAGGTTCTTCTAGACGCTATCATACGGAGACTTGTGACACTCAGTGCACTTGATTTTTTTTTATTCTTCGTTTATACTTTGTCTCTGGTGTAGCGCCGCGGAAGACACTTGCGGTCCATCCCCACATGTCCTCATCAAGCCGACCATCTGACTTGAAACTCGATCGCTGTGCACCACTTGCGCCAATTACGATGCCAATCTAGTTTCCGTCGTGATGCGAAAACATTGCCAAGTTTTACTGGATCTTGGAATCGCCGTCAAGCCCCCCTTTGCGCTGTGGCATTGCTAGTTCAGCGGCTGACACGGATCTATTGACGACGACCACAACCAGTCTCAACACTCGGGCAAAAATCGGCTTCATTGGGGAAATAAAATGCCACAAATTGGTGTGATGCTAGTTTTGCAGAATTTGGTGCCAGTTCTGCGTGGCCATGTTGTTATCCGCACGACAGCCTTGCTGCGCGTCCATCTTACTGTGATGACTCGCGCCCGGATGGCAGCTAAACGTACTCCGCCCCGGAACGGCATGAAATAACTTCCTACCAGGAAAACGGGTTCCCCTAGATGGTATCACGTATAGAGTCATACGAGTCCCTGGATCGTCGCGGCTGCACGTTACCGCCCGGAATTCTCGACAGAGCTCGGGCGGACAGCATCATGTCGGACAGCCCAGCGGCACAAGGCGCTTACAACTAACTAGCCCTCGGAGCACGGGCAGGCCCGGCTGGGACCAAAACACTCGTCGGCACATTTTCGTAATATGTGTATGATGACATGCGCGTCCAGCCTACGGCCGCGCTCAAACTCGGCCAAACTCGGCCATGCCGCGTTTCGATGCTCTTTCGTAGATGCAAAGACACGCCACCCCGATAGGTAAATGCAGACACTCACATGAGGTGGGCCACAGAGAAGCTACGCACCATCGCAACTAAGCACTTATATTCTCGTCAAAGATATCAGGGTGTCTCATTTGGTCGAGACATAAAATACAAGTTTCGAAGCCATGTGTGCTATGCTGGTGTGGCTCGTCGGCAGGCTGTACCGCAATCTTCTTCCCTGTCCGGCCTGCAAATTCGAAAACGCGGCAGTCTGGTTCAGTCGCGAGACGCGCTCCGTATACCGGAATATACCACCCCAACTCTGTCACTCCCATCAAATTCGACTCGGTACCCTTCCGAGAATCCATGATCCGCAGTGTGGCCGAGACGGCGCCTCGCCCGCCATCCAGCCACGCGGACAGCAGATACGCGAAATTATCCGCGTCGCGCACATCGTTCTACGCGGCGATTTCTGGGGTAGCAAAAGCATCGAGTTTTCGTCAAGACACTTCACATTATTCAATCTTCCGATCCCGAAATAGCCCGCCTCCCAGCTCGTACCTCCGCAAGTAAATCGACAAGACTTCAATCAGCAAAGGACCCTCAACGACGGCTTGCTTCACTCTCTTCGAGCCGTTTTTCCATCTCTGCAGATCCAGACGCATCACATCGACACCAATTATAGGTGTCTCGAGTCAATGTCCAAAACGTCCGTGTCTGTGTCAGGTAGGGATACCACCCTCGGCGCGATGCCACTGAGATAGTAGACGATTCCCCGCAGTTAGCCATTACCTCTATTCTGGAAGTTTATGCCACTCCAATACTCGACATTGCGACGCCACGGACCAACCGCCATATTATTCAACGAGATATCCCACACAATGCTTCGTTTTGTTTCTTGAAGCAGCCATGAGGCCAAGTATGGACATCACCGCCTAGTGCTTCGATACTCGGGACTACGTGAAGGATCCGTGCAAATCTTGCTTGATGGCCCGTCGAGATGAAGCGAAAATAACTCGTAACGGCGCTACCTGGCGGTCCGCAGCGCTACACATGGTCACCTGTGAGACGTGTTACCCCGGAAATCAAGAAGAAATCCCCCTTGTTCATTATTAGCAATGCGTAGCAACCTGACTACAGCTATTTGAGATGAACTTCTTGTCGACTGACACAAGTCTACCTCAAATTTGCCTACGCACAACTACTGCCATAAGCAAGATTTCTTTAGGCACAAACAGGGGTATTATTGCCGCTGAGACACACAAAACTGTGCCACATCTAAAAGGAATCTAATCTAGGTATCATGCGTATTTGATTTATTCTTGCAACATGCTCCGGAATATCTCACCAACAAATGGTTTTCGAACCAAACTTAAGCAGCGGTCTTATCAGCAACAGTCTCGGTGGTGGTCTCGGGAGCGGCGGCCGGGGTCGGGGCAGCCTCTTCAGCCTGGGCAGAAGCAGGCTCCGTCTTGTCCGCTTCAGCGAGAGCAGCCTCAGCGGGAGCAGGCTTAGCGGGAGCAGGCTCAGCGACGGGCGTATCCTCAGCAGTTGCCGCGGGGGCTGCGGTGGTAGGAGTAGGCTCCTCCACCGTGACAGGCTCAGTCTTGTCTGCCGCAGGAGCAGCGTCCACAAACGCCAACTGCTGGCCACATTCCTTGACGCTGGGGCCCTTGCCGCCGTACTCGCTCGGAAGCGTGGCGACAATGGTGGGCAGCTCTGAGGCGAGGGTGGTGCCGGAGGTCATGGGATGGAACTTGCGCAGGGTGGCGGGGGCGAGGAAGAGCTTCATGGCGCCAAACATCCAGCCCATGATGAAGGGCACGTTGACAAAGTACTTGTGAGCGAGAAGCTCGGGGTAGGCCATGGAGAAGGTCTGGATAGTCTCCTTGCTGGCGGCCTTGACGGCGGGGTCCATGCGGAAGAAGCTAACGTTGAGGTAGTCGTGCACCTGGATCATCTGGTAGGGATCCTGACCGCCCTCCGGGATGAGCTCCTTGACTTCGTTGAGCTTGAGCTTCTGGACGCTGAGCTCCATGAGGGCAGCGCGCCACCTAATGAACCTGATGGGTGTTAGCAATGCATGTGATGGGTCAGTGTATAATGTGCAGAGACATACTCGTCAACGTTTCCAAAGGTGGCCTTGTTGTCCTTTACGGCCCCGTAAATGTTCCAAGTAATGACCGTCTCCTTGCCCGCGTCGTCCCTGTGAATCGTGACATAGCCCAGGTCGGCGAATTTGGTCTTGTCGAACTGCTGATCAACAAGGCTGACGGGCTGCATCTTCTTGCGCCACTCAAGGGCCGAGACGAGCTGCTTCTCGGCAGCCTCGGCATTGTTGCTGTTGGCGCGCAGAAACTTTTGGAGGACGACTTGGCTGGGGATGTTCTCGGAGGAGCCGTCGAGCTGGACACCCCACATCTCCTTGTAGTCGACCTTGGTGGTGATTTCGGCGACGCGAGCCGTGAGCTTGGCGAGAGGCGTCTTGGGCGCCTCGGCCGCAGTGGTAACGGCGGGGGTAGCTTCGGCAGACATTTTGGGGGACTCTTGATGGAAAAATTGCTGGACCAGGACAGAGAGAGGCCTCAATATAGAGTGTGAAGATGCTCCGAGCGAGTCCGAGTTGGAGGAGAGAAGTCAGCTAACAGGGGAGCTGGTAAGGAGCTTGGGTGGAGCCGTTCTGAGAAGATATAGGTATTTAGGTAGTCTGTGAACGGCGATGGCTTGGTTCAGAAGCGTGGCAGCGAGAAAATGGCGGCGCCTTGATTGTTATTTTACATTGAACAGTAGGAGACGATGGAAATCCAGGGAAAGATTTTCATCACAAACAACAGACGGATCGCAAACGTTTCAGGCCCTGCAGGCAAATGAACAACCACTGGCAGCAGCAGGCAGTGTCACGCACGTTTTCTGGATAAGGTACCCTTGTGCCTGAACAGCCTGAGGTACTTGGTGGGTACACGCGCAAGACCGCGGATAGTGGGTACCGGTAGCCGCCTGGAGAGTTGCCGGTGCAGCAGCCACCGAGGGCGAAATGGCCCGAGCTTCCAGGGCTCCAGTGGGGCTCTCAGGGGCCTGCAGGCTCGCACCACGCTAGAGAGGGTACTTTCAGGTACAAAATTCAGCGTTGGCGCAACGGCTCAACAGCCCATCTGCCGGCTGGCGGCCCGCCCCAGTAAAAAAGGCCAGAGCTATTTACAGGGCGATATTAATTGCCGGCCTGTTGCACAGGCTTTGTCGGCCGAAAATTAGGGCCGCTGTATATACAGCATGTAATGGCGAGTATCTCCCGCATGGCGTTAGACGCGGGCATGCGGCGTTAAATAGCAGTTGCATACCTACGCAGGAGGGGGGGCTTCTAGACATGCCCTCTAAGCTATAGACGTTGTTGGGCCCGAATGGGCAGCCTTCTTTTCTCTCTCTTCCTCTTCTTTGAGAATCTGGTCCAAAACGTGCCCAAAATCAACCAACCATTTGTTGCACTTATTCGCTGCCACACGCTCATCGTTACTATGTTGACTCGATTGGAGCGCCATTATGGTGAATGCAAGGACTTGACAGACGGCATTACTCCAAGTAGCATCTTGGTCCACCAGTACCTCGCGGGCCGGTCGTGCAAGATGGTAGCGAAGCACCGTCGGGTCAGTCCAGTCAATGTTGAGAAAGACAATGGCGTCGCCGTTGGTCAAATAGCCGTATTCCAGCCCAGCCTCCAGCATATAGTGATACGTCTGTGTAACGGCCGCTGCCGAGAGAAGCTCAGCGTAGTGTTTAACCCTTTCAGGCTCAGCGGTCGGTAATGTCATCTTATTAACGGCTTCTTCAAGAATATTCATCTGCTGGAGTCCCTGGTCAAAATGCGCCGTATGGAGTTTATGAATTGCCTTGTACTCAATGATAAATGCAATATCCTTCTGGTGAGCCGAGTTTCAAAACGCGCAAATCGTTCGTAGATTTTCGTCTCTACTCGCGGTTGTTTGGAATTCGACCTCTTCAGGAACAGCGAGGCTGTACCTCTGAGGATCAAAGTCGTTGATTTTGGACATGATGATGCGTACAGGGACTTCAATAGTATTCTGCTGGACGCTCACAAGAGAAGCCTCATCGCGTACACGACAGGCATCTATGCGATTGCCCATAACCTCAAGGAAGTGGAGGCTCTCGAATAGTCGCTCATCGTGGGGGAAAATCCGGTCGATTTGCTGAAACACATCGGTCTGTGCCGGGATAAAGTCGTCCCAAGGCACAAGAAGGGTCGGGCAGTGCTTTCGAGTAGGATTGTTTAAAGGAGCTTTGGTGGTGAGGTAGCCATCGGTGACGAGATGAACCTTGGATAAGACAAGCTCCTGGCAGCCCCTTAGGTATTCCTGAAGCGTTGTGTCGCGGAGCAAGCTCTGTGTCTGCTCCTTTTCGCGTCGTGCCTGCGCAATTTCCTGCTCTAGTCCCTTAATCCGTTGGAGAAGTTTTTCTGAATCTGTAGCCATGTTTGTACAACAATGATGGAACAGGTTGGTTGTCTTTATCACGAGTTTCACGTGACCTTTCTCGTGCCGCGACTCGCTCCCTGAACCTGACAGTAGGTCAACTTATAGCGTTACTTGATACTGTAGATCAAGTATAGAAAAATAAATTAGTTATTAAAACAATATTACCATAATCTCCAATTAATTCTGTATTGATTAGTAATAGCTTTAGACATGTCAGCACGTAGATCGGTAAGTAGTAAGCATTTACAGCTCGGTATATAGGTTAAAATTAGCACTCTTAATGACATGTACGGCCATAGCCGAGCGAAAAATCTGGATCCCGTCCGATCTCCGATAGAT